TCTGAGGTCAGATCTGGCTGTTTCCTCTTGCTTCGAATCGCCAATCGTTGTTCGTAGGTTCAAGTGAAGGAAATGGACCAACGGCATGTTCTGATCGATCTGTTGCGCATTGACGATATCGACGACTACGTTTAGGTGCGTACTCGCTGTCCCTTTTTTTTTGTTTTCTGGTTTTTTGATTATTTTGTTTCTTTTATGTGTCGTTGATTTTGTTAGAGTTATTAATTTCTTATTCAGATGTTTGTGTTCTGAGAAAATGTAGGGAATAAAATGTTTTTGAATCTGTATATTTTAGAAATCGATTTCATGTTTGGTATTTTGTTATGTTAGCATTTTATAAGTTAATTCTTGAGAATGTAAAACTGGAAAAATGGAATGGCTGCTAGAAGAACCTACGTTAAAATTCATTAAATATGGCAGTAAGGATGCAGTTTTCCTTCTTATCTGCAGTTTTAAGATGTCGAATCTTGTTTTCATGTGTTTTAGTTTACTCCTAGGAATTTGATAGCCAAGAACAATGTGGGAAAAAGCGTGGAATTTAATAGTTCATTCGCCTTTATTTTCCCTTCACTTTTATGTTCCGTTGCTGAAAATTCCTACCAAAAACTATATATATAGTTGCTAATTTTATTCCTCTACCTTAGGTGAATACCAGAATTGCTAAGTTTACAATGTTGTATGCCAGTGCTTCCTATTTGATAAATTCAATTGCTTGACACATGGAACTATGTTTATGATAAATTGACTAACCAATAGTTGATCTGGTACCCACTAGAGACTAGAGAGGCTGTAATTACTGCTACAAGACAGTTAAATCTTGATTCTTCAAAGTAACTCTTTCATTGTATAATTTGTTGATAGAGGAAGTAAACAGAAGGTTCTTGTTTTCACTGGTTTCAAACAATGTTTAATGCTGTGTGATGTTGTTATATTTTAAATTTATATTTCTGGTCAGAAGATTTTTCTGAAAATCTGAATGGACTCTCAAAATTTCTTCGCTACCTGGAGTTGATTTTCTCATTGTCCACTTGTCAATATATTTAAATGCAGGCAAATGAAGGGGAGGGATCATTACCTTGGGACAAGCACAAGCATGTTTATGATCTAATGGAGAATAACAATTGGGCAGTTTGAGCAAATTGCTTTGAGGAGGTAAGGTTTTATATTCTGTGCTAAGCTTTGACTAGATTGGTTATGCCACAATAACATCTGACATACAATTTTGCCTTTATAATCTGTGCTGCTGCTTACAATTTTATGCCACTTCCCATGTTTCCCACCTTGACTTGACATAGGATTTTCTATCAGGGTTGCTATATGTAATGATATTGGTTGAAACTTGAAATGTTATCTATGAGACTTTCATTTAAGCCAAATATCCAAACTTTTATTCATTATGTTTTAAGATATTTTTGTTGGGGAGGTAGGGGGTGCTATGTCATCATTAACTGAATTTGCTTCATGTGAGGAAGATTGTATATGTGGTTTGATTTATTCTGAAATATATATAAGCCATTAATTTTTTTTTTCTTGATCAATATATAAGCCATTAATTTATTGAGTGTGAGGGTAATTACTTTTTGAGGTCATCACCATCTCAAAATCCCCAAACCACCATGCATGCCACATGTTCAGACAAATCTTCCTCATGAACCCAAAACCAATATTGTGGATTTCTTCTAATTTTTGTCTGGTAAAGGATCAAATTTTAATGTCATGTCTCTCAAATTTTATATGATATAACATTATCTTCTTCACTACTGTTGTATAATCCTGATATTATCTGTTTCTTCCTGTCAAGATTGTTGTTTATCTGTACTTCTTTTGGTTCTTATCTTCCTCCAACAACTAGAAGCTGGGAGGGGATGAAACCTGAGGGAGAGCACTTAGGGGTATTGGGTATGTACTAAAACAAATTGGCAGTTAACTTTCTTCTTTCAAACTTTTTGCACAGTTTTTTTTGGAAGGATAATTCTAAGATTTTGGATTTATGTGTTCGCAAACACAGAATCAAACTACAGTAACAAGTGCGTGATATTAGTGAAGGTTGGATGTTGTATCTTCCTCTCAGTTCTTCTCTTCAACAACTAGAAACTGCGAGGGGATGAACATAGGGGTATCTGTTAGGGTATTTGGAATGAACTTAAACAAATTGTTAACTTTCTTCCTCCGAAATTTTTGCACAAATTTTTTTGGAAGGATAATTCAAAGATTTATGTGTTGGTAAAATCAAATTAGAGTAACGAGTGATGTTATTGCAGGTTGGATGTTTCGGAAGGCTGCTTTAGGACATGAATGATGAACTGAAGATGGTGATGTTGGTATGTTGCAGCTTGCTTTGTTTTTTCTTCTTATCTCTGTTTTGAGGGCCTGGGTTGCTTGGAAATTATAATTTGTGAAAATTAGTTTGGTTTTTTAACTGTTTTGTTTCTAAGAAAACAAAGGAAAATATTAATGATAATTAATTGAAATTTTTGTAGCATTTTCATCTTATCTTATTAATTAAAAATTTATATAAATAATTTCAATTAACTTCATATTAATGATAAATTAATTATTATAAAAGTAATTAGAATAAAATATGTTATGTTTACCAATAATACAAGGGCATTTTTGTCCATGTTGATTAATATTTTTACCCAAAGCTCTATATTTCAATAATCAAGCCAAACATGTTATTAAATTAAAATGCATCTCGTCTTATATCGTCTAGTCTAATCTAATGTTTAAAATTATTTTCGATCTTACCTAATCTTGCGCTCTAAATGTGCTCTTAGATGTACAATTTCCTGACAACAGCACCATATTGCTCACGAAATGATGTAATTACAAATAACTTTACATGGTCATTGTAGGTGTTTGATTTCTTAAAACATCGAAGCGGCCAATACCATCGGGAGACTGTTGTAGAGGAAGAGGACACTCAACAGGGAAAAAATGGTCTATTTGTTGAAGAGCAGTGCCAGGGGCACTCGCCTTCGGCACTCTCCGGCCAGCACTCCTCCTTTCATTGGGCCACGTTATTTTAGTTCGGCAAGAGGTTGCACTCCAGAGCTTAAACAACCTTTACGTGGCCCAATGAAAGGGGGAGTGTTGGCCGGAGAGTGCAGAAGGCGAGTGCCCCTAGCACTGCTCATTTGTTGAAATCCTAAAGAACGCTTGGAGTTTGTACTTACAAGATAAACAGTTGCTACCCGTTATGGCCACAATCGTAGTAGCGGCAATGTTCCAAGCCGGATTGAATCCTCCCTCAACAATCTGGGAAAAAGGAGTCTATCTCGATCACAATCTCTTTAAGCTGGATTGAATCTGCTCTATTGTCTATAAGCATAAATGATTTTTCTCGGTTCGGGTCCTGCCCGGTTTTCAGATTCTATTCTTTCATGATATCCAAAACCTTTGCCCTTGCTGCCTTTCTTGTCCTCATACATTTTCGTGAGCATGCAGCAATAGCACCACTGCTGACAATGATCTCCCTTTACAGCTTCCTGGATGCTTAGTTTGCCTTTTTAAGTTCCATTGCTCCACATTCGACCTTTTTCCGTTTTTTTTTTTTCATATTTTAATGTTCCTTTGTTATTATCTTCTGTTTTGCAAGCCATTGTTTACAATGGGACGTATGGCTGAAGAAAAGTACAAAGATTATTTATAAGCTGAATAATGGATTCTGCAAGTTCTGGAGAGGGTGAATAAGCTGTACTGGAGAATTAAAGCTACTTTTACTCATGGATAGACTGTGTACCTAACCTATATAAGTTGTACTAAATTCAGTTTTGATGTTCCCTCGAGCAAGCAAGAAGACAAGGAAGCTTAAATCAAGGAAATATTAGGTGAGAAAACTCTGTTTTTCCACTGGTAATTTTCTGTGTAATATTACTGTGTAATTT